CAGTAGCTGCTTGTGTCAGTCTGTATGACTTTTTTGATTTTGTTTTTGGTGGAACCGAGGATTGAACTCAGACCCTTGCACTTGCCAGAGAAGCACTTATTCCACTGAGCCACCTCCCCGGCCCCCTATATGACTTTTTTGAAAGAGTAGAAGATATATGCATCATTTGGTGGAGACAGAAACCAATAGGCAGATTTCTACACTAAGCCGAGGGGCAGGAAACCAAGGATTTATGTGAAAAGTAGAAAATTATTAGAGTATTTTATTCCTTTATTTACCCTTTTGATTTAAGCTAAGTCTTGCTGTAGTGCAGGTCGGCCTGGAGCTCTGTAGCCCATGCTGGGCAGGGCTGCGGGTCACTTAGTGCTGTGAACATCTGGATTATCAGAAGCTGACCTCTAACAGCCCAGCTGCACGACGCCAGAAATGATCTGCTCCTCCCATCCGGGCCACAGCACTGACCCCAGAGAGTTCTAGGCCTAGAAACGGACTCCCCTAGGTCTGTTCTTGTTGTTCTGCTGTAGAAGCTCCAGCAGTGACACGCCACAGGTGCCCTCTAGAAGTCCTGCTGTTAGCTGGGTAGTGTTCCTGCTGTGGTGCTTGCTTGTAATCCCAGCCTTGAGAGGCTGAGGCAGGAGGATCACTGCAGTTGTGAGGCCAGCCTGGGCTGCCCAGGAAAGTCAAGGATAGCCTGGGTGCTCCATGAGATCTGGTCTCGAAAACCAGAACAAACAAAAATTCTGCTACTATGTCAAATGTAGTACTGTACTCTTGATAATGTTCTTTTTTCTTAGAATAGTGGCAGGAGAGTGGCTGCACATTTAACGCCAGTGTGGGTCACATGTCACTCCCTCCTGTATCCAGGGCTTTCCACCGTGAGCAGAGCCCAAGGTGCACACCTGCTTCTGGCCCTGCCTGGACTTCGACCCGGGACGTTACCTTTGTGGTCAACCCACTGGACCCCGGTGATGCCTGGGGCCTAAGCAAGTACACTTCTGGGTGGCCATGGAGACGGCTCTGGGGACATCCGGTCCCTGTCCTGCTCCTCCCTGGTGCCCCATGTACACGGTGCTTCCTTGCCACCACTCCCTGGTGACATGGTAACCAGGTCTGACCACCAGGTTTCTCCAGCCACCAACGCAAAGATGAACAGGCAGGACACAGTCTGTGCAGACGTCTCACCGGCATGGTGGTGCACGCCTGCAACCCCAGCACTTGGCAGGCTGAGGCAGGCGGATCACAGTAAGTTTGAAGCCAGGCTGGGCTATACTCTGAGTTCAAGGCCAGCCTGGAATATGTAGTAGGACCCTGCCTCAAAAAATAAAACTGAACAAGAAGCCCTATTGAGTAGTTTGCCAGTGCAGGCTTCTCGCAGGTGCTGTGCAGTGCTAGCTCAGCCAAAGCAGGCAGCTGTGGGGCCCACACCTCTCAACCCCCAGTGCTCCCTGCTTGTGAAGCAGAAGGCTCACCATTCGTTGTCTAGAAACTTGCACAGCTAGTATTTGCTCTCTGTAAGGATTCATTTCAGCCATTCCTTTTTCTAATAAGAAAGATTCTTTTTCTCTTTTAACTCACAGGCCTGGGCCCCAGGACAACCCCCCCACCCCCGCATAAATAAATAAATAAATAAATAAATAAATAAATATAATTTTTAAAAGATAAAGAAAAAGCCTCTGTAATCTAACTTGAGGTGAATTTGGATAAATTCTGTTAGAAGACTTCTGGATTTTTTTGTAACTTAACATTACAAAAAAACATCGTATAGCTACACATTTATTTTTGGAGTACAGTTTACATAGATGTTGTTACACATTTGCTTTGTATTGACTGGACCTTGCTCCAGGCTGTGGAGATGCATAAAGTACCACAGTCACTTAGGAAGAGCTCAGCTCCTGGTGAGGGTTCTGGGAAGGCGGCAGAGACCCGTGGAAGAAACAGCAGCACAGGGAGCGCCTGAGCATTGCTGGGTTTCTCGCTATGGAGAGGCAGGTCAGCTGAGGGGACTGTGTCATTGTACTTCAATATCAAGAACTCAGTTAAGTGTAAATGATTTGGAGTAAGTTTACACAGCTGGGCTACCACCACTGTGCAACATTTCCGGGCCGGACCCAGCCCACCCTCAGTCCCAGTGAACCCTAATTGCTGTCCACCTAGTGAGAGCTGGTGTCAGTCTCTGGGGAAGCTGCTGATATCACCTGCGTCCCTCAGAAAGGGACGGTATGAGTGCCAGCAACCAAAGCATCTCCCCTGCCAGGCAAATTCCTGCGGAAAGATGTGTGGACCCCAGTGGCAGCACCGAAATTTATAATCACAGCCAGGTATGGTTGGTACACGACTGTTGTCCCAGCACTGGTAGGCCGAGGCAGGAGGATGGTAAGTTCCAGCCCAGCCTGGGCAGTTTAGTGACCTAGAGAGACCATGTCTCCAAACAGACACTAAAAAAAGGGCAGGGGATGCAGCCCAATGCAAAGGCACTGGTTACATCCGAGGACCAAAAATAAGTAACATATTTTTAAAAATTAAATCCTATTGAAAAGATGAGGGTCTAGAGGCAGGATAAAACACATGCTGTGACAAGGACATGCTGTGACACACTTCTGGGTTACTATTGCTAAGAAGGAATGTCATAGGTGATTTTTAGTAAGTGGTGCATCTTCTTTGCAATTTCCAAGAATATGTTGGTAGAAACACTTAACAGACATCATGGGGCTCCTGACAGCAGCCCCTCGCTCCCTAAGCATTTGGTCCTACACTTTGTCTTGAGACCGGGTCTCACTGTGCAGTTCAGGCTGACTTTGAGTTCACTTGGTAGCCCTGGCTGGGCTTGAACTCACAGCAATCCTCCTGCCTCCGCTTCCTGAATACTGCGATTACAACTAACTGCCGCCATGCCCAGCTGGTCCCTCCATGCTTGCGGAGGAGGTTTACAAACTAGCCATGCCCTGGGACTGGAAGGGAGAAAGCTTACAATGTCCTGGTCCTTCACACGAACAGTGGGGACCTGAGATTCCTCAGCCACCCTGGGGTCCCAGTTAGCGAAGCCACCATCCTTGCCCCACATGGAGCATGGGGTCCATTCCTCACAGGGACGAGGCTGGGGGCAGTGGCGCCGTCTATGCGACCTGCATGTTCCTCACAGCTGCCTCACGCCACACTCCTTCTTGACTATCATTGCAGTGGCATCCGAGTGCCCTTCCATGAGTTCTGAGCCCTAGTATCTGTAGGAAACTCCTCACTGCTTGTTCTGACTGGAATCTGCTCCGTGATTCTGTGGCACGGCCCTGTGTCTCGTGTCTGCGCTGTGGTATCCCAAATTCCGGGCTGTGTGTATGGGAGAACGGTGTCTTCAGCAACGTTTGGCATCTGTCATGAGCAGATGGATTTCTTTTACGTGTATGGACCCTTACAGACACTTAGAAAAGTGATCTTAACTGTTCAACCACATCTGCTAGACCTTGTTGCTTAGGGACAGACAGGTGACTTGTGGTGCTCATAAACAGGGAATGTTGAGCCCTGTGACCTCAGGCTGGTGGCCTGAAGACCTGCTTGTGTCCCCCGAGGTCAGCCCTAAGCCTCCAGGACTTGTGGGGCTTGGGCTCCTGGGTATCTGAAACACACCCCTTTCCCATTGTTTTAAAAACAACTGAACTTCTGAATGAGTGAGTAAATAAAATTCTACATTTCCTATCCAGACCCCTGTTTTGTTTATTTTTTAATTAAATCCACTGTGTAGTTGCAGGCTGGCCTTGAACTCACAGCAGTCCTCCTGCTTCAGCCTCCCAAGTGCTGGCATGACAAGCATACACCACTACAGCCAGCTGAGGTCTTACAGGCTATTCCTGGCCTTCCAGGGAAGCTGTGTATTGATTGTGACCAGAGCAGGGCCCCACGGTTAAGCCATGCATGTTTAAGATAAGCTCTAATTTCACACACATTTCTTTCATGTTTCTTGGGAATTATTGCCTCTTTCCTTCTTATCTTGGACTGTCGGCCAGATGAAGGTTAAGGATCGAAGCAGTGGAGTAAAACATAGGTACACAGTGGTGTGCTCAGCGTGCGTTGTCTTGTAACTCGATGGAAGGACTGAAGCCCATTTAGGCGTGGGCAGGCTGCTGCTCCGTGGTGCCAGCTGCGAGGGGAGAGGGAGCCGCTCCGGCTTCCAGCCCTGCCACTGCCACCTGCAAACTCTAGTGCACCACTATTTAAGGTGCCCATCTGACTTGCTTCAGTTAACGTCAGGGTCCTAGAGTGCATCCCTTTGCCTGTGGGTGACTCAGGGGACTCCTCTATGGCAGCAGAGGCCCGCGGTGTGTAATGCCACATTTTCTTTATCATTCTTCTGTGGGCATACAGGCTGCTTCCGGTAGGGGCTATTGTGAGTTGTGCTGCTAGAAACGTGGGTGTGCGTGGTCCCTGTGCTGTGAGGTCTTCAGCTCTTTCAGGAAAACGCTGTGACACACTTTCCAGCTGCTGCTCCTAACTGTAAAGCACCCTCACACTTCTGGACTGCGTCATACTCAGGAAACACACACAGCGTGCTCTGCCTCTACTAAACACTTTGGCCCTCTGCTCTCCGAGGAGCCGGGCCAGCTCTGCACCTTTCTCACGTGGACGGGCTCCCGGCCACAGGGCTGGGGCAGCCTTCACACTGGCCTAGCCACCTGCACTCAGTGCGCACTGCCCATCAAGGGGCTGTCTATGGCTCCTGGCTATTGCTTTCTGGTGCTGGGGGAATGGACGTCCAAGCCGAGCAGGTCCTACATGTCAGCTTGACAGACGAGCGAGCCATGTCCCTTTAGTCTCCTTAATGAAATCCCAGAGACGCGTCAATCCTCCCGCTGATGACATTAAACAGGCATCGCGCTCCCAGGGCACGGAGCTCCATGATTAATTACTCCAGTCACCTTCAAGGAGTCCCCTGGGCTGGGTGCCTGAGCGCTTCACTTGGAGAAAAAAGAGCTAATTGGATTTTCTCTTGTTTCTCATGTTCTGTGTTCTAGAACTGGGTGCGGGCGTAGAGCCCACCTGCTGTCCACTGGAGAAACTGGGCTTTACCACACACGTGGGGAGAAGTGAAGGTAACGTGCCTGGCTTGGGCCTTCCAAGGCCAGAAGCTGTGAAGTGCTGCTGGGTGTAGTCATCTCAGCACCCTGGAGGCTGGGGCAGGAGAATCGCCGTAATGCCAGCCTGGGCTACAAAGTGAGTTCAAGACCAGGCTTGAATACATAGGAAAGCCGCTGCTTGGCCTCAGAGTCTGTGGTGGAGAGAACCCCACACCAAGTCACCTGGTCACTCTACTTCCTCCAGGTTGGTCTCAAACTTGCAGTGACTGTCCTGCCTCAGCCTCCTGAATGTTGGGTACTACAGGCCTGTGACACTACTCCTAGCTCACGCTGGGCTTTCTCCTCCTGCTCTAGTGTGCCATAGTGAGAGCTTTCAGAGGGACAAGGAAAAGGAGCGATGGGAGTCAGAGACACTCCCAGGCTGCCTTCCTGGCCTTCTAGGCAGGGACAGTGGCTATGGAGACAGGTCCACCAGGACAGCAGGGTACGTGCACCACATCAATGCCTGGTTCTGTCTGGTGGCTACCCACCCTCTGAAGTTGCTGCCAGCCTCTGGAGCTCATCCTGGGGACCCTTCTCTGCAGGGACACTGAGGCCCTTTCACAGGGGTCTGTGGTTAGGGTTTAAGCACCACCTTGGGTTAACTCGGCCCTTCCTGCCTGTACTACCCAGCCGCTGGAGCTATTTTATTTGCCTTTCTTTGTCACGAAATAAAAGCTGAGCTGTCACTACATGGTATTTTCCTCCTGCTTATTTTTCCTGAAATGACCCTGCAAGAGCCTTTCATGCTTGAGGGATTTTGCTAAAGTTGTGCCGGGCTGGTTTGGGAGTAATTGCGGGCTTCACAGCCCTCTGTCCTCAGGTGGTGGCCCAGCAGGACTGAAATACCCGTTCCTAAATCAGGAGCAGCTGGGTGTCGCTGCTGCCGCAGCAGGAATAAAAGGTGGTGCTCAAGAAGCCTGGCCAAAGCTGGGCCGAGTGCTCTGCTGCTGCAGTTAGCATCCTGTCTTGGTGGCGACTGGCCCGGGCCTACGAGGGCAGTGCTGTGGGCCACTAGCTGACCTCGCAGTGCAGTACTTCACCCTCTGGCAGCTCCTCCTTGCTCGACAGCACTGCCCTGCGCTTCCAAGGCTGCAGCCTTCCTCGCTGAAACACCCATCTGCAAATATAAAAGGGTAAATGGAGGCTGTTTTAAATACCTTGCATGTGTTTCTCTGGAGTCTGTACTTTGTGGCCAAAGGACTTAACTGTTTTTAATAAGGCAAATGGAGTGAGTTGCAACTAGTCAGTACATGCAAGCAACTCACCTGCGTTTGCTTTTTCTTCTTTTCTGCTGGGTTTTTCCTTTTTCACCTCAGTCTGTAGTCCAGGCTGGCCTTGAATTCATGGTGATCCTCCTGCTTCTGCCTCCCAAGTTCTGGAATCACAGGTGAGGGCTGCTCAGCCTGGCTTGAAGGGTTTTTAACCTTTTCAAGATTCTTGGAAAAGATAGTCCCAGGAAGGAATGTTGATGTTCTTGGCAGGTTCCAGCCTATTATGACGTCATGGCTAGAAAGCTAAGTGTCCAGCGGAAGGTTTCCCATGTTGGGTCCTGACTTTTATTCAAGGGAATTGTTAAATTGCTCTTTATAGTGACCTCGGCTCAAAGGGAGGCAAGAAACGATGAAACGGTTCACTCTTTTGTAAATCAGCTGAATCTCAGCATGAACTGCTTTGCTTTGGCGCCTGTTTCCTTCTTTTGAGAATGTTTTTGTTCCTCGTGGTTGATCACTGGCCAAGCATTGGTTGTGACCATAATTTTCCTTTGTTTTTAGGTGGGATCGTGGCATCGTGCTGGGGGAAGGAGGACCGGCTGGCTTCCCTTTGTGAAGTCAGGGTGCTCAGCAGGTAACTGCGCAGGGGGAGCAAGAGATGGCCCTCTCCACATTTGGTGCCGGGAAGCCAGAGCGATTGTGAGAATCCATGCTGACTTGGGAAACAGAAGGACTGAAGAAGTCACGTTTCCACAGAGACCCAGAAGTTGGCCAGTCCTCCTTGGATTAAGGACCAGAGAACCATGGATGCCATAGAGACAGCAAAACTCGAAGAAGATTTGGAAAATCAAAGCAGTGATGCTCCAAGAACTTACCCCGGCCCGACAGAGCCTGCTGAGGAAGAGGGCAAGGACATCAAGGAGAAAACCCCAAACCCAGCAGGCGCCCTGCGGAAGGGAGCCCGGAAGTACCCTGACTACATCCAGATCGCCATAGCGACCGACGCCAGGAGCAAGTTCCCCCTGGAGTGGTGGAAGACAGGCATCGCCCTGGTGTATGCACTCTTCAGCCTAGTGCTGACCACCATCATGATCACCGTGGTGCATGAGCGGGTGCCCCCCAAGGAGCTCAGCCCCCCACTCCCGGACAAGTTCTTCGACTACGTTGACCGGGTGAAGTGGGCGTTTTTTGTGTCTGAGGTGAATGGGATCATACTGCTTGGATTATGGATTACCCAGTGGGTGTTCCTGAGATACAAGTAAGTAGGCCTAGTTTGGTCTTTTGGTTTGCTATTGGGTTTTGTTTTGTTTTCTGAGGCAGTGTCTTGCTACCTACCCCAGGCTAGTCTCAAACTCACGGTGATGCTCCTGCCTCAGCCTCTTGAATGCTGGGATGACAGGTGTGTGCCACCGCACCCATCCCAATTTATTTTTACCTGAGTAGATAGGTAACTAGAAATGTCCTTTCTCTAGTAAATGTGCAGTCTTACCTGGATGTGTGATGTAAGAAAGCTGTAGAGTACACACAGCTTCCACCCAGAACATGTTTATTGAGCACCTACGCACACGCGGGGCCAGGGCCCGTGGTTGGCATGGTGACTCAGGGCTGGTGACTTGCAGTGCAGCTCCTGCCTTCCCACAGCTGAGGAGAAGCTGACCTTCCTGCCCTGAGTCCATCTGCATGCCTGGAGCCCTCCAGGCACGGGAAGAGCTCTCAGGATTAGATTCTTTTCCCCTCCTATTGGCCACCCTGCCCAGGACAGGGTCCCTGCAGTTGGCTGTTGATGTGTAAGGCAAGCTTGCCTTCCCGCCCTGTTTCCTGTTTCCTTGCATGTAGCTTGGCCACCCCCAAGCCCCTGCACACCTGCTTTGGGGCCAGGGCACACCCAGCCGAGCTCACCCCAAGCTCACCCTCTGCTCCTCCTCCTGCCCTCCAGCCCACTCACCCCAGGCCTCTGTGACCCCTTCAGTCCTGGTTCAGATGCCTGCTTCCCACTAGGGCTGTGCTGATGAAGCCCCAAAATAGGAGACTGATCCAAATACTCCCCAGAGAAGACGGCACCCATTCCCTGGGGCCTTCAAAAATACCACAAGTGCTAGCTAACAAGCTTGAAACATTTGAGGTCACCTACATTCCCAGCATTACTGGAATTATCCTTCCTGTAAGAGAAAATTAGTGTTTCCTCCTTCTCTGTGGGTCGCTTCTTGGGACTGGGGATCCAGCCGTCTCTGCGGCTTTGGCGCTGCAGACTGACACTGCAGGGTGCAAGCGCTGAACGTGTTCCTGGGTGTTGCTCTCTCCCCTGATGTTTCTTTGCTGTGGTTGAGTCAAAAGCGGCTGTCAGCCGTCTTCTGTAGGGCCGAAGTGAATGCTGCAGTTGTTTGGTGTGGGGTGCTTTGCGCTAAAAACAAAGGATGTATTTGCTGAGTTAGTGTTTCAGCGTCTGGGACAGACACTGAATGTAAGAGGCCCTGCTGGGCTCCAGATGCTTGTTTTCTGTTTAACTTGCAGGCAAGTTTTTTCTCATATGCATGGAAGCAGACATTTCTAGGGCTTGGGGGGGGGGGTCCCTGCACTTCACCCTGAAGGTGTGGAGCCTTCCTCTCAGTTGTCTCATTGCTGTCCGGTGGTGCAGCTCTTAGACACATAATCACCTCAGGTGCAGACGCTATCTGGGATTTCAACTGAAGATCACACTAGCTTACCTCTTTATTTTTGTGTTAATGTTGTTGTTGTCTTTTTGAGATAGGGTCTTGCAGTGTAGCCCAGGTGGGCCTTGAACTCGCAGTGATCCTCCTGCCTCAGCCTCCCAAGTGCTGGGATTCCAGGCGTGCACCACCGTGCTCAGAGCTTTTTACTTTGGCAGTAGAATCACAGCGGGAAATCCTCTCTCCCCGCCCTCTCCCTTTCTTCCCTCCTTTCTCCCCCTCCCATTCCTTCACCTGGACTCAGTCTCAACTCTCCCGGCTCTGTCTCTGTCCACCTAACTCTGCTGCCTCTGTTTCTCCGTCTTCCTGTCTCTCCCCCTCTCTGTCTTTCCTGTTTCTCTTTCTCAAACACTTTTCAAAGCCATAGGAAAAGAAAAAAGCATTCGCAGTAACTTTTTCTGAGGAAGGCTATGGAATGCAGGTGCCCTGAGTTAGTGTTCTGCTGCACGACAGCTGCAGTCAGAGGGCTGGGATGAATTTGGTCGTGCCCTGGTGACCCCTGCATGGTCTCTGGCCTTGTCTCCCCAGGGCAAGCCTTAGCAGCACCACCGTGGGCCGCCCTGTGTCGAGGTACAGGGCTTCCCACTTAGTGAAGGGAGGCACCTGGCGGTCTATCTGTTCCTCTTCTGAAGAAGTCAGGCCGGCCACGGCAGCACACAGCTGTAATCCGAGCCCTCGGGGCCTAAGCAGGAGGATCCCTTTGAATCTTAGGCCAGTGTGGGCTCCACAGTGAATTCAAGGCCAGCCTGAACTACACAGCAAAACCCAGTTTCCAAACTGAAAAAATAAAGGCAGAGTCATTTAACGGTGGAATAAAGAAATACTTCATTCAGATGAGATTTTTTTTTTTTTCGATCCCAGAAACCCTGGAATATTCTTAAAATAGCTATGGGCGACAGGCAGCTAAATATGTATTTGTACATAATTTTTAAAATTAGAAGCCCTACCAGGTACCCAAATTAGACTTTGATCCATGTCAGAACCACAGACTTGGAGAAAACTGAAGAGCTACCCAGCCCTAAGTTGCTTGTCACCCACCCGCCGCAGGCAGAGCCAGTTGAGACCCCTTGCATTATGGGCTGAGCCTCCCCTAAAGGACAGTGGCCTCAGAGTCACCACTGGGATTTCTTTTTTTGTTTTTTACCTGTTTCTTGACTCATCTATTTTTTTTTTTAATTTTTAGTTGATGCACAAAATATACAAATCATTTTTTTTTTTTTTTTTTTTTTTTTTTTTTTTTTTTTTTTGTGACAGGGCCTCATGTTATAGCCTAGGTTGTCCTGAACTCACAGTGATCCTTCTGCCTCAGCCTCCTAAGTGGACACATCGTGTGACATTCAGGTTTCGTTCAGCACATCTCAAACACTTTCCTTTTTGCAGTTTGTTCCTTTTATTGGTCCCTGTGTGTGTGTATAGTGGTGCCGGTCCTGCTTTGACCCTCCCTCCCCACCTCTGGGACACAGATGGCAGAACTCTTCTGGGGGTGTGCAGCGTGCTCTGCTGTCCGCCCCTTCCAGCTGGGGCAGCAGGGCTTCTGCTCCTTGGCTGACTGCCCAAGTCTCCGGCCTCTTCACTGTCTGTGGTCCCAGCTCTGGTAACCTCCGTCCTACACAGTCCATGCAACATCAGCCAGGGCCAGTTCCTCAGAGTGATGTCACCATGTCTCCTCCATGCCTGACTCCTTTTGTTAACACACTGTCCTCACCTCCTGTCTGTCCTGTTGCCACCATCACAGACGCCTCCTTCCAGAGCTCATCAGGACCTGCTACATTTCTACAGGTGCTTTCTGAATCTCTTGTTCAGGCAGTGGCACCCAGGTTGTCCCAAATTCCCAGATCTTTGGTTTTTTAAGAGAGGGTCTCGCTAGGTAGCCCAGGCTGGCCTCAAACTCATGGTGACCCTCCTGCCTCAGCCTCCCGAGAGCTGGAGTGATAAGCTGCACTACAAGCAGCCCATTTCCTGGCTATTGTGTCTAAGGCAAAACTGCAAAGTACACAAGCAAAAACCCACATTCTCATTTTGGGTGTGATTTGTTTGTCTTTCTGATCAAAATTGAATAAAAGACAACAATCTATTTCTGGCTTCTGTAGAAAATGTCCTTAAAGTCCCAGGTCACCATGGCCTCCTTTCCTGAAAGTCTGTTTTGTCAGGGGAAGTAGTTGGAGCTCAAGTTGTCCAAGAGCCCCTGGGCAGCCCCAGAGGGGCGGTACATCCCCGGCTCAGGTTCAGCGGCCATGGCATCTCCCGCTGTGCCCAGTGCTGTCATGTTGCGGCCTCACTGGGCCCTGTGGCCATGGCTGTCACACTTCCCTGTGTCCTGGTGGGGCCTCTTCCCTGGAGTGGACTGAAGGCCCCAAAGCTCGCTGAGTTCTCCAGGGCCACAGCCTGTGTGGTCCCAGCTCCTGCTGCCTTGTGAGCAGGAGCGCCCACCACCGTGTCCCCACTGTCCTTCCCAGGTCCATCGTGGGCCGCCGGTTCTTCTTCCTCCTGGGAACCCTGTACCTGTACCGCTGCATCACAATGTACGTCACCACACTTCCGGTGCCCGGGATGCACATCCAGTGTGCCCCCAAGGTAAGGCGCAGCCCACTTGTTTGTGGAGGGGCAACAGCCCCTCTATTAATGTTCAGATGGAGAAGAAATTAGAGTGTATTTCTTAAGAAACGTACATCTCTGTAGATAAATTTGTTTTCTGCTAACTGAAGACTGCTTGACTCTGACTTTTGGTTTTCTGAGACAGGGTCTTGCTTTGCAGTTCAGGCAGGACTTGGACACAATTGTGGTGACCCTCCTGCTTCAGCCTCCTGAGGGCTGGGACTGCGGGTGTGTACCACCATGCCCAGCTTTTGACTCTCCTTTTTCATCTTTTTGTTTACTGTTTCATTCATATATCCGATCTGTAAGGACTGAGCTCATGTCCCAGCTCTGAGCAAGCAAAACAAAGTCACGGAGTTTCTGCTTCATGGAGGACGAGGAGTGGTGTACGCGGTAGTGGGCTGAGGCAGCTGCCTCAGGAGGAACGGCCTGCTTGGAGACCCTGGGAGAGACCAGGGTGGGGGCGACCCAGGGTGGGCGGAGCCACGGAAAAGGATGAGAGCCCCAGGCCAAGCGAAGAGTTGTATCGCCCTGGCTTCAGGGAAGACCAGGGAGGACATGCATGGTCAGGCACACCTGGCAACTCAGCACTCAGGAAGCTGAGGCAGGAGAATCGCCACTCTGGAGCACAGGCTGATTTCAAGTCCCACTAAAAAGCCACTGAACTCCAAATGCATGCTGAAGGTGGAACCCACAGAAAGTGCTTACAAGTTGGATGTGGGCTTGAGACAGAAGTTAAGGATCACGCCAGAGCGCCTGGCCCTTGGACAGCTGGGCCAGCCTTTAGCTGAGAGGTGGTGGAGCCACCTGAGCCAGAGCCCACCCTGAGCCAGAGCCGCAGGTCCTCTGTGGAGACTCAAGCCCTGGTTTATAAAAATAGGAGCAGACGGTGTACTTGTAGACAAGGGCGTGAGCCCAGCATCATACTTCCTGAAGCCCCAAGCAGATGTCAAAGTTGAAAGAAAAACAGAGCCGCCCCGGTCCAGGGAGCCTGCTATCCACATCACCAAATATAGGTGTGGTTTGGAGCAGCATAATTTCCAGGAGCTATCAAAGCAGCCCATGTCTGTAATTAAAGCTGTGTCCTCATTGAGTTTAAACACGGGCTGATTTTTAGTGAAGCTAATTTAAGGCGGGGAGGAGGTCAGAAGCATAATAAACACTGTGGGGTACTCTGGACTTGTTCTGGGGAGCGGCAGGCTCCAAGGGAGGCTGCCGGGTCGGGTGCGGATGAATTGCGATGATTACAGACGGCAGATGAAACACTGCTCTTTCTACAAGACGTGCAGTTTTCTGAAGCTACCTTGGTAGGTGTGCAAGGGGATAACAGCCAAAAGCACTCATGAGACGAACTTGGTGGTGTCCTTGCTGGTCACTGGCCTTGGGTCACAAGCCAGGACACACCCGCGTCCCTCTGTGGGGCCAGGGTTAGGTTATGGTGAGAAGAAGGGGCGACCCTGGTCTCCTCCCAGTCTACTTGGCCTTCTGCCCACTGGGGCCCTGAGTGATGCTGCGCTCACTGCTGCTGGTGGAAGTGCTCCTGCCTGGGTCTGTACCACCGGTCAGGTTGCCTGAGCGGAGGGGGAGCAGTACCATGGATCTGAAGTAAAGAATGATGTGTCCCTGCAGCAGGGATGTGGAGGTGGGCAGGGTGTGCGCCCCCGTCTGGGCTTAGTTTTGAGCTCTACCAGACTGCATGCCGACACTCTCCCTTGGCCTGCGGCAGCTCGCTGAGGCACCTGCCTCACCTTCCCAGGGCTGTGGTGCAGGATGGTGTAGTCTATTGTGTGCCTTCCTGGGTGTGCCCAGAGCAAGTTGTGCAGTACTGTCTACCCTCTGCACAATTGTGAAGCACGTGGGTTGCTGTGCCCTGTCCAACTCCTCCTCCAACTTCTGATCCTGTTCTGTGTCACCTTATATGTAACACCTTGTTCTTTTGGGGTTTTTTCTTTGTGTTTGTTTGGTTAGACAGGGTCTTGCTAGGTAGTGTAAGCTGGCCCCAGACTCATAGCAAGTCTCCTGCCTCAGCCTCTTGAGGGCTGGGCTTACAGACGGAAAACATTTCGGCCATGGCCCGAGATGTCTGTCCTCACCCATCAATGTCCCCTCATCCCTGCAGTGGCTTCTCCTGGCTTTTGTCCCTAGACTGGCAACCCATCCTGGCCTCTGCTGTAGCTCAAGCTTTCAGGGGATATTTTCCTGATGAAAGCTACTGATTTTTAAAGCTGCCAGTTCACTCCGATCCATCATTTTGAAGCCTACGTAAATGACTTAATGAGTTGCAGCTCTGCTTTTTAACTGCACGCATTCCCATCAGACATGACTCCAGCCATGCACACCGCCCCCAGGAGGCGGCGACGTTAGTGGTGTGGCCTGCTGCAGAGTCAGATATGACCTGTCCCAAACCCTTACTTCCCCTGCACAAAGGAAAAGCAGTTCTGATGGGCTTTTTGGTGTGCGGCTGCAGTGAAGTCATTGGTTATTAATATTTCTGAGGGCTTCGCCCAAGGACCCACCATCACCCAAAGGTATTATTAGCAATGCAGTGAATAATTTAAATCGTGTCCATAAAACTTGCCACTAGGATGAAGAGGACCTAGCTGGAGGAATTTCCCCTTGCGTTCTGTGTGACTTTTAAGATTAAATGCGTGGGGTGGGTGTCCTACAACTCTGTGGGCCCTGAGATCAGCCCAAACTATCATTTTTATTTTTATTTATATTTTTTTTATAGTCAAGGTTTCACTGTGTAGTTCAGGCTGGCCTTGAACGCACTAATGTAGTCCAGGCTGGCCTTGAGCTCACAGTGATCCTCCTGCCTCAGCCTCCCAAGCACTGGGATTTCGAGCCTGCAGTACCATGCCCATCCCGAGCCATGATCTTGGCAACCTGTAACCCGTCTTGCCAATCTCCCTGTGTCATGCAGCTAAATGGAGACTCCCAAGCCAAAATACAGCGGATCCTCCGGCTGATCTCAGGTGGCGGATTGTCCATAACCGGGTCACACATGCTGTGCGGTGACTTCCTCTTCAGCGGCCACACGGTGATGATGACACTGCTCTATCTGTTCATCAAAGAATGTAAGTCACCGCTCACACCCAGCGGGTGGATGGGGCCCTGGTTCTACTGGGAGGGATGGGTGGGAGAGAGAAGGGAGCTCTGGCTGTGTGTGTACATTCATGTGTGTGTGCACATGTGTGATTTCAGCTCATCCTTTATACTTTGCACACTGCCCACAGCTCCTCTGTAGTCCTGAACGGGAGTATCTCCCTTGTTGGTTAGTAGACTTTATGAGGGGAGAAGTCATCTTTGTTGTGGAACTAAGAGGAACAAACCGTTAAGATTTGGCACAGAGAAAACCAGTTCCCAGGCCTGCGAGATAGCTCAGCAGATTAAGCGCCTGCTTTGGCAAGTGTAGGGACACGGTTTGATCCCCGGTCCTGCATGCCATGCTGGCCCTGCGCCCGGGGCACACTGAACCAGCCACAGAGTCCAAGTATGGGGAGCCTGAAAACAGGAGGATCACTAGGAGTCCGAGCTGCATAGTGAGACCCTGTACCAAAAAATTGCCATAAAATGAAAAGAAAGAAAGAAAGAACAAACGAACACCAGTTCCCCTCTAGTTACTGTAAAGACTCTCCAAGATGTTTGCCCAGCTCTCCAGCCACATCTTGCCTGGCTCCCTTGGCAATCCCTGCTCTGCTCAAGTCAGCCATCTTGGGGACATGTGGCCAGGACACCATGGTAGAGACGCCTGAGCCTTGAGTATGTTGCAATTTCCCTGGTGTGGCACCTTGTGTCTCCTGGAGCTGTCACTGGTGTTGGAGTGTCAGGTTCTTAGCTGCCAGCAGGTCCCCTCTGTAACCCTGTGAGCTATGGCCACCAGGCCTGGTTGCCAAGCTGGTGCCCATCTTCTTAGAACTCACATCCATCAGCTATTACAGGCACTCACACATGGGTGTGCGGTCAGCGGGGATCTCTTCACCCTGGTACAGACAAAGGCCCCTCTTGGCCTTGTGTCACCCCACATGGGCAGGAAGCCAGGCTATGTACCTCAGCATCAGGGCCGCCTATGTCCCCCATCCCTCGCACTGGGGCTGGGGTGGCCACCTCTTCCACCCCAGCCACTGCTTTCTGACACCCAGCCCTGCTCTGGACGTGTGCTGTGTCGTGGCAGCCAGCTCTGACCTTGGGGAGCTTCTGTCTGCCAGGGAGCTCAGGTACTCTCCATGGCAGGGATGTGTGGAGGTAGGAGAAGTGGATAGAAGAGGTTGAGGTGGGAAGAAGGCTCGGTGTCAGTGGAGAGGCATGGGAGACGGAAAACCAGAAAGAAAACATCAGGACATTTAAGGCCAGTTTTTAAAAATACCTGAGGCCATCCAAAACTTGTTATGAGTTGATGAGTCTGAGTTCCTGCAGGTGCTTGCAGAGGACCCAGACTCCTGGGATCTAGGAATGGCTGGCCTCGAGCTCAGAATCCTGCCACAGCCTTTGTGTAGCTGGACCGAGGACCCCATCACTTCAGCCTCTCCAGAGACTGAGTAGAGGATGCAGAGTCAGCTGGTCCTGGGTCTGAGTGTGTGTTCCCCCCGGGGTGGAAGGGTCAGGCCCTCTCACTGTCAGCCCCTGAGGTGGCCAGAGGAAGGAAGAGAGCTGGACAGACTGCCTTCAGGAGCAGGAGTCAGTGACCTCTGAGGATGTGACTGTGACCTTCACCCAGAAGGAACGGGCTTTGCTGAAGCCTTCCCGGAAGAACCTGTACAGAGCTGTGATGCAGGAGACCTTCTGCAAGCTGGCCTCTGTAGACAAGAAATGGCAATGTCACACCATCAAAGATAAGTGCAAAACTCTCAACAGAAATGTAAGACGTCAGTGCTGTGGAGAGTCTTCAAACATGAAGAAAGTGGATAACACGGAGAAACATTTAGCAAGACTGCAAATCGTGAGAGTGAACGAGAAAACTAGGATAAAATGATGTAAAAACCACATGTTTAAAGCAGTGTCCAACAGTTTTTCATCGTTTTCGAGAGACATCATAATTCACTGGACACAGGCCATCTGAGTATCAGGAATGTACAGAGAAGCCCCCTGAATGTAAAAAAGTGTGATGTAGCTTTTAAGTGGCCCTTTGACCTTCAAAATCGTGAAAAGTCTCACTGCAGAGAAACTTCACGCATGTATGCAGTGTGGGAAAAGCTTTGCTTGCTGTGCCTACTATCAAAGATATGCACAGATTCACACTGGAGAAGAGCCCTGTGCATGTCAGCAGTGTGGGGAATCCTTCTGATGTTCCAGTTTCCTTGAAATACATGAAAGAAAGAAACCTTTTGTGTGTAAGCACGTGCAGAAACCTTCACTCGTGCTGGTACTCTTCAAACACGTGATGGAAGCCACAACGGAGAGAAGCCTTGTGTGTGTGAGCTGTGTGGAAAAGCTTTCCAAGAGAATGGCAAGATGCTAAGGCGGGGGAGACTCGCAATACAGAAAGATATGTGTGCATGAGGAATGTGAGGGGGTCTCCAAGCTGCGGTTCCCTGCACAATCTCATAAGGACTCACGCTTTCCAGAAACCTGTGTTAGGGAATATGGAAGACCTGTCTATCCCATAACCACCATAGACAATTTTTTTTTTTTTAAGCAGGGGATTAAACTCAGGCCCTTGCACTTGTCAGGCAAGGGCTTATTCTACTGAGCTATCTTCCTGGCCTGATAATCAAGAGTGCCTAGAGGAGGGGCGTCCATCGGGGTAGATAGAGGAAAACCCCTACCAACTGAGTTCCATTCACAGGGTTAAAAGAACCCAGTATGGAGGAAAATATTACTGGAAAATCTTTTTTTGATCCACAAGTGAGAATGCACATTGAATCAAAACCCTGTGAATGAGAAGAATACACGGAAGTTGTCAATTGTGACACTTTTGGTGTCCTGTAAAAGTTCCTCTGCCTCAAAAGCCTATGAATATAAGTCATATAAAGAACCTAATGCCATACCTGGCCATGAGGGCCAAATGTGGTTAAAATGATGCCATCTTTGTCAGGCATGGTGCCACATGCCTGTAATCCCAGCACTCTGGAGGCTGAGGCAAAAGGCTTGCTGAGAATTTGAGGCCAGCCTGGGCCATATATAGCAAGACCCTAAAATAGTAATAATAATAATAATAATAATAATAATAAATAATAATAATAGCATCTGGGGAGCAGTTCTACCTCTGTGCCAGGCATAACTTATGCCCTTGGTGCAAGTTAACTTATTTAACACTTGTGGTGCCCCATAACAGAGGCAAGACCGTGCCGCCCTTCTTGATGTTAGTGGAGAGTGACTGGGCCGAGTCCTCAGCTAGCCGTAGGTTGGGGCTGGGCGTGAGCATGCCAAGTGCAGAGCGCTGGTGCCATGCTGGGCTGGGTCTGGAATCTGTGGAAGCAGAGGTGGTGCACCCTACAGGGTCCACCGGAGGAGGTGCTGACCTGTGATCAGGGCGTCTTTTTTTTCATTGTCCTTTATGGCGCCTCAGCAGCAGCCTCGAAACTTGAGATGAATTTTATACTTCTGAAGGTCAAGCATGTTGAAGGGAGTGCCCCCCCATGATCTCGGCTTGACGTTTTTTAAGGCATGTACTCTGGTGTGTAACATGGGATGGCAAATCCGTGACACACAAACTCAAGTCAAGTTCACGGTGAATTCTCTACGTGGACGGGGCTTCCAAGTCCACACCAAGGCGGGAGCAGTCACCATCTCACTCGGGCAGCGTGGTCTCACAGAGGCACTTCCCGCCCTGGTCAGCCTGGACTCCCTGTCTGCACTGTCACTGTGCGGGGATTGACACTTAGTGGTGAGGCCACAGGAAGATACGGGATGGGCCATCTGTGGATTACCCAGAGCTGGCTTCTCACAGGCCTGCAGCAGCACCAGGGCCTATGGAATTTGCCTGGGGAAACTGGCCTCTCTGTTCATACCAAGCATCTGATGGGTCGGGAACACTGGGGCGTGCCCGCCTGCCAGCCCAGCGCTCAGAAGGCTGAGGCAGGGCACTGCTCGTTTGAGGCCAGCCTGGGCTCCATGGTGAGGTCAAGGCCACCCTGCACTGTGCAGCAAGACACTGTCTCAAGAAAACACAGAGCCTGCTTGCCATGGTGTCGTCCTAACCTGCAGTGTACACCTAGAAAGGTCTGTTGGAAACTGCAATGCCTCCTTCCTGGTCACTTTGTTCCCTCTTTTCACAGCAGCCTTTTCTTTTTTCTATTTTGGTACTGGATCGAACTCGAGGCTTGCACTTGCCAAGGCAGGAGCTTATGTCACTGAGCTATATCCTCGGCCTTTTTTTTTTTTTCTTTTTTTTTTTTTTGGCAGAACCAGGGATTGAACTCAGGCCCTTGTGCTTGCCAGGCAAGCGCTTATTCTACTGAGTCATCTCTCCGGCCCCTAGCCTTTTCTTTTGACCTTTGCTATTTCTCTTCTGGTGTGGTCATTCCTGAGCCCGTCCAGCCAAACTGGACTCTCTCCCCCAGCAGCTTAATTAATAGCAGTGGGCAGGGCCCGGAGTAGCCATCGCCACCACCCCAAGCCCCTAATGATGCCCACCCCTGCAGCTGCACCCCTCTGCCCCCTGCCCGGAGCAGGCCCTGGGCAGCAGCAACAATCATTGTGTGTGGGTGGAGCCAGTTTTCCTCCTGCTGACCTCAGATCCTTGTACACCCGTCCCTCCTGGGTGTCACCCTAACTCTGCCTTTTCTGCCGTCCAGATTCGCCGCGGCACTTCTGGTGGTATCATTTGATCTGCTGGCTGCTGAGCGCTGCCGGGATCATCTGCATTCTCGTAGCGCACGAGCACTATACTGTTGATGTGATCATTGCTTACTATGTCACCACGCGGCTGTTCTGGTGGTACCACTCGATGGCCAATGAAAAGGTGAGAGCAGCAAGATCCCGGGCTTCTTCCCTCTGTCAGGCCGAGACCCTTTCCACGCAGAGTGCAGGTGGCCGTGTGGGAATCACCCATCGACAGCAGCTGTGTAGTTTCATGCCTGCACCTTGACTCCCTGCATCCAGCAGAGTGTGCCCACCACACTGCAGAGAGGAGGCGGTGAGGTGCCCGGTGCTGTTTGCATGGGAACTGCAGGCACACTGTGCTAGATAAGCCGCAAGGAGCCTCCCATGTCCATAGCAGCCCTGGGTGACAGAGGGCACAGCATGGAGAAACTTGAGGACTGAATGGCAGCTCCTTTTTAAAATCAGGCAGAATAGGTATCTTGGGGATTAGCAGCTGTGTACATCTGTGGGAGAAGGTGCTGGTGGCTTTCTGTCATAGCTCCCGGGTCTCTGCTTCTTGCTGTCCCTGTGTGGCCTTTTGGCCTTCTGCTCGTTCTCACAGCTTGCACAGATGCCTGTGCTTCCAGGAAGCCTCCTGCGCCACCACCACCACCACTGCCACCGCCACCACCGCCGCCGCTGCTGCTGCTGCTGCTCATGCAATCCCGGTGGACCTCTCCCGCCCCAGGCTTGCCCAGTCCTTCTCAGTGGAGTGGGCCGGCGGCCTCCATAAACTTGGGTGCGCTGGCCTCGCTGGCAAGTGCACCACTATCTCAACTCTGACTGGCGGCTGTGTCTGTCAGCGCTCTCTGTGATTCTGCTTCCTGCCATGCAGCCTCCCCTTTCTGTCCTTTACTGTGTCGTCTGGACTCTGACCTGATCACACCAAGCTTCCCGCCCTGACTCTTCTTCAGTGCTCTGCTTCCAGCACTCCTTCCCACTTCCCTCCCTGAGTGGAGGCACCCCCTGCCCTGTCCTGCACATCCTGAGCCACCTTCCTCCCACAGAGACAGGCAGTGGAGAGCACAGGCACCTTGGAGAGGGACAGGAGCTAGGGCTTAGCGACAGGGAGACCATAGTCATCAACCTGGGGAAGAATCTGCAGTTACATGCATGACCACTTGATTAAGAAAAGCCTGAGGATGTTTGTGGTGGCCCATGTCCCTAATCCCAGCAATGGGAAGGCTGAAGCAGGAGGATTGCTGCGAGTTCAAGGCCAGCCTGAACTGCATAGCAAGATCCTGTCTCAAAAAGACAAAACAGCAGCAACAAAAAAAGAAAGCCTCAGAGCAAGTCACCAAAGGTGTTTTTTCCTCTTCCCTCTCTCCTCTCCTTCTAGAACCTGAAGGTCTCTTCGCAGACGAACTTTCTGTCCCGAGCCTGGTGGTTTCCTATCTTTTATTTTTTTGAGAAGAATGTCCAAGGCTCAATCCCTTGCTCCTTCTCCTGGCCACTGTCCTGGCCTCCTGGCTGCTTCAAGTCGTCCTGCAAAAAGTACTCCCGGGTGCAGAAGTCGGGTGAGGACAACGAGAAGTCCACCTGAGCCACGGGCTGAGCCCCCAGCGAGACCACCGTGCTGTGACCAAAGGCAGAGCTGCGTTCGACTTTGTTTTAGGAGAACTGACTGTCAGCGGAGAGGCAGACCCTATGCCACAGGCTCAGTTGGGACAGTGACTGAAGCATTGATTCACTATGACTGTTTAATTCCTGAGAAAGAGATGTATTCATGGGTGACAAACCCCCAAAGTGGGGTTTCACGGTGAGCTTGTTTAAGAGGTGCCAAAGAACACAGTACCCCTTTTTCCTCTCTCCTCTGAAACCCTGCACTTCAGCATTCTTTCAGGTTGTTTTCCTCCCAAGCTCAGAGATTTGTTCATGTTTTTAATAAAAGACTGGGCTCTGTACAGCCGCTGGGTGCATGGACAAGGTCCCAGTGGAGGGCGGCTTCTGCCCGGCGCTGCTTCTCAAAGGGTACCTCCGGGCCTGGAGCCGAGTTCAAGTGCACTTTCTTCTACCCTGGCAGGGACAGGGGAAGGGCATGTTGAGGTCCTGCAGTGCACTCTGCTGCCACTGCCCAGTGCACTAGGTGTCCCTTTGACTCTTACGTTTTTAACTGGTCATTTTAAAGGAAAGAAAAAAAAAATCCAAAGAAATCTGAAAGTATTTGACCTACTCATGGATTTTTACATGTACAGAAATGTTTCATTTTAAAGTCTCTAGGATGTCTGGGCATGATGGCACACACCTGTAATCTCAGCACTCAGGAGGCAGAGGCAGGAGGATCACTGCAAGTTTGAGGTCAGCCTGGGCTACATAGTGAGACCTTGTCCCCATAAACCAAAACATAAGTAAATAAATATGGTTTACATGAAGCACGAAGCTATTTCTGCAAAGGGCATGGTCCTTGCATATGCCTCAACTCTGCCTGCCTGGCATATATGCCGCTAGGACCCCAGCGCAGGCTGCAGACGTGTGGGGTGCTGTGGCGCCCCCTGGGGTGGCCTGGCCCTGAGCTCTGGCTTAGTGCCCCTGGCTAGAATTTAAAAAGCTGTTGGGCGCATTTCACTACAAACTGCTTTTTCCTGGCTCTACTGTGCACGGACGCCAAAGCCAACCAGAGCCTGTGGGTCCAACGTGGTGACTTCCTGTGTGCTGTCGGAGTGGCTCAGCGACACAGGAAGGACCTAACTTCCTAAATTTCTTTCAATTGATGCAAAACAAAGATGGCTGTGAAACGTCTGATCAGATAATACCATCAGTTCTCCTGCATTATTTAGTGCTGTTGAATTTTTGGATAATTTTTGGCTTAATCTCTTAACTCAATGAACACTAATTTGTAAGACACAGGAGAACGAGAAGAGGCAGCTCTGCTTATACAGGAGGTGAAGTTTCCTTAAATTTAATCCTTGTAAACCACTTAGCCTTGATGCAAATTGACCTTGGCATTGCTTACAAAAGGCACAAGACAGGTCTGTCCAGGAGGGTGATCATCCTTTGGTGCTAAAATTCTGTCTGTTCAGAGTGGCTTTTTCTCTACTGACTGAAAAATCAGTAAAGGCAGTGGAGCTGGGCGTGGTGGTGCACGCCTGTAAAAATCGTAGCACTCGGCAGGCTGAGGCTGGAGAGTCATTGCAAGTTTGAGACCAGCCTGGGCTGCAAAGTGAGCTCAAGGCCAGCGTGAGCTGCATAGCAAGGTGATCTCAAAAAGACCCCCCCAAAAGGGAGGTGGGTGTGGTGGTTGAATTCAAAGACAGGAAGAAAGACTCTCCAGGTGAATATTTTAAACAAGAATTGAAACCTTATGCCATCTTTGGCAGCCTTTAAAATCCAAGGATTTTCCCAGTATTTCTAAATAAATCACTAACCAACATGTATCTGGCCTCCCTGGTATGTTCAGATGTAATTCTATGTAATTTCCACCCTTGTCGGATATGGACATGTATGGTAGGTAGAATAGGGTACCCTGCTCACACACGCATTTCTAACTCCTGTTATCAGAGTGTAAGGAACATTGCTGGACCTTGAAGCCCAGGGCTTGGCTTCTGAGCCTCTTAATTCAAAGGCAACAATGCACTGGACCTAAGAGCCCCACTGGGTCTATGTGACCTACTTTCCTGCCATCAGATAAGGGAACTGCCAAGGCTTTGTCAGTCATTGTGTATTGATGATCGGACACCCCTGACACTTTAGTCAACTAATGCAGTCACACAGAAATAGCAGTGTCCTCCTAAAGGACTTCAGAGCCGCTGTGACCCTTGTGTGTGACGCAGCTATTTTTGTGTCCTCTACATCTCAGTGTTCTCTCTAGTAGAGAGTAGCTGGATACTAAAGCGAAAGTGTCAAAGTGTTGAGCAGGAAAAAGACACTGTGAGGCTCATTTACATGTGGGAAAACAGACTTGAGCCTAACCCTTGAGCCACAGGGATGGAAAAACAAGGAATGACAATGTTGCCTTGGAAACAGTAAATTTTCATGATGCCTTCTCCTTGCCAATTGAGATACAGCTGTTACCCGTGATCCATGTTTTTGTGAGCCTACTCTCAGAATCCTTCCCTGTAATTCCGTCTTCCTATGAGATATCTATAATACTTAATGCTTATAAATTATGCCACATTTTCCCCTGAATTCTTCCCAATGGAAGTCAGTGCTCTCCAATTCATTTATTTATTATTTTTTTTAGCTGCTTCACGAGATTTAAAAGGAAAACATTCTTCTGCCAGTCCCACCTGAACTCAGTGTGAAGTTAGGATTTAATTTAGAGCGTCCTGGGAAACGGAACTCGCTATGGGAGGGCTCTTAGAGTGCTGGTTCTTGACCGTGTTCCCAGCGCCCCCTCGTGGCAGGATTTCAGGTGGCTTGGGACACATGCCACAGTAAAATGTATTTTCAGGATTTGAAATGACATTTGTATTTGCTTCATTTTATTTGTATATTTGTTTCACTCACCCCTAGTCCTAGGCAAGGAATTATTTTAAAGACATCGTAATCCCTTTTTCAAGGGAAGATGTTCTTGGCTTATAGTGAGTTGCGATTCTAGTCTTTGGTGCATTCGATCGAGGACAATGCGCTGGCTGCTTTTACCTCTCAGGAGCACAATCAGTAATGTCACCTTTGTAACCGCCTATGCCTCGTTTGCCTGGAATCCCTGTCCGCTGTCTTTGTGTTCTGTAAATTTACCTACTAGAACTCACAGACTTGGTTTTTACATCGAGAATTCACACTTTACTCCTGAAATATTTTGAACATTTCTTTTTTTCCTTTGCTGTTATTTTCTTTTTGTACTGCAAACTGATTACAGATTGAAGCTGGTCTTAACACATTTCTATTGTGTAAAAAAGTGGGAAAAGGAATTTTCTTAATGGGTTTACATGTTTAAATCAAGCAGATTATAACTTATATGCCATGTATTGAAGACTTTCCTATTTGTATGTATAAAGAGCTGCTAGCATTTTTGCTTCCAATGTCATTATGTTACAATAATTTAACTCCTTTGACTCCACTGATAAAAATATTTCCTTTATTATGAAGTGCTCTTGACTTAAATATCCAGACGCTGAAAATCATGTCACAGGTACCCAAAGATGAATTTTTATACAGAGAGACACCTTATAAGTTCAGGTATATTTTATTATTCATTAATCTAACTATTGTGTTCTAAGTGAATCAGGAATGAGAAGAATGCTTCATGATTGAGTTATTTTAAATTCTCCTTTAGAAGAAGAAACTGTAAACATAAGCTAATATAGTTTCCGAGTGGGAATTCACTATTTCATTTACCTCTCCTGCAATAATGAAGGCCGCAGGATGTACGGTTAGGTTACAGAGTATCCACAAAGGAAATCTCACCCCAGGTGAATGGGGTGGTCAGTTTCTTTTGGAAACTTACTTACTGTACTATTTCAATGTGTTAAGTGCCTTGTTATAAAATCACACTTTAAGTCTAGAATTCATTATTTTCCTGACATGTTTTTCCTTATGATGTCTACTGTACACCATTGTAATGGTTTTATTCAATGCTTATGTTCTAATCAAATATGAATATTTCAAAAACACCTTTCTTCCCACCCATGAGTACCTTAATCATTGATCTGTTGTTATAGGTTTGTGTTTTGAGTATTTTTGTAACAGGAAATTATTCTTGTTTAGAAATATGTTGTCCTTGCTTGTGATTTTGTGTCTGCAGAGACATTTCAGAGGAAATTAGGGGTATAACTGTAGTTTATACTTCTGAAATGCTGTCTTACCTTTACATTTTAAGTGCCTAATTGTTAAAACTAATTCATGTTTCTATTTGAAAGAAGATATGTGTACTTGGTTTTTAACCTCTTTGGTTTTGCTTAAAAAATGCAAGAGCCTATACTTTGTATTACCAATAAACCACAGTGACACTAACAGCCGTTTCAAAATTGGCATTACTGTTTCTTTTACTTTTTTAAAAAAAGTTCTTAAATTTATTTAGTTTCACAGTACTTGCTAAAATCAATTGTTTTCTTCACACTATTATTTTATTTATTTCTATCTGTACTTACCTATGTATGGAGTGGGCATCGTGCTATGTGCCGCAGGCTGGCCTTAAACTCAAGACACTCCTGCCTCCACCTCATGACTTTTGGGGTTACAGGTATGTGCCACTACTCCCAGCTCATCAAGCATTATTTTAAAAATAAGGTGATAACCTTCATTCATGGAATGAATGGATTATTTTTTTCTGCTCTTGTGTGTAAGGTGGAAAATGATTGGAAACCATACAAGATCGGTTGTGGGAAAATTCATTCCCTGTGCTACAGCTATGGCGCTCCCTGTCGGCAAGGGGACAAAGCTAGAGTTGTTGAGGCAAAGCACAGCACCTCCGTCATCCAGTTTTGAAAGCAGTGGCTCCTGGCTCCTTGGCAGAGGGACGGAAGGCTCGGTCCTCCGAGGCTTGCATGTGCATCGCCATGGGGCATTCTGGGCAGGGTGAACAGGGAGAAGGTGGCCTGAGAGCAGAGTGAGCGGGTGCGGCCCTTAGGTGTGAGGGGCTCATAAAGTAAGAGGACTCACAGGCAGCCTTCCAAGACAGCCGAGGGTGCGCGCTGGGGTATCCAGAGACGAGATCTGGTGAGGTTTTCCTGCGTGCCTATGTAGGGTGGGGACAAAAGCTTGTCTCAGAGCTAGCCCTGGCCCTGTCTGCCTGGTGACACGCTGACTTGGCTGCCAACTGACGCCCTTAGCCTGCTCAGGTGGAAACTGTTGTGCAAGAAAGGTCAGCTTGCGCTGCCACGCAGGCTGGGCAAGGACTTTGATCAGC